AAAAAAAAATTAAATAGGAAAAAAAATAAGGTCAATAAACAAGGATGGCAAAAGAATTTATGCCTGTGAACTGTGGTGTTAAAGAAGAGTACTGAATATCCAATGGACAAACAAATGTGTCTTGGAGAAGGTGCAGCCAGGGTGTTCCTTGGAGGCAAAGATAACAAAAGCTAACATAATTTGGGCGTGTTGCTAAAAGTGGCTATTCTTGGAGAGAGACATCATTCTTGGAAAGCTAGAGGTCCAGTGAGGGAGAGGAAGACCTTCAGTAAGGTGGACTGACACAGTAACTGCAGCAGTGGGCTGGAATGTATTAGAGATTGGGAGGTTGAAACAGGATAGGACAGAGTTACTATACGCTGTTCATAGGCTCACTATGAATTGAACTGGACTCACTGTCACCTAATAATGAGAACAGCAGCAACACAATTTTGCAACCGAACAGCCAGTAATGGTGATACTTACTTTATATTGATTAGCAATAATTTGCCATACGAGGAAACCAACACTAATAAACTATTTGTATGGTGAGAAGTATGGTAAAGCTTATTCTTTGTGATATACTGTCAGTGATTTTTTTAGCCATTGACACATGTTGTACCAGCTTGCCAAATTTTGTCATTTTGAATTTATCGTTTTATATTTATGCATTTAGATAAAGTGTTTTTTATTAATAAAATTGAAACTTTCAAAAAACTTGCTATTTCCTTCAATAGTCACAAAATAGAATGGTGTAGATAGTTTATAATCAACTTTAAAATGTTCCACTTTACGAATGAGGAAACTGAGTCAAAGAGAGATTAAGTAACATTCCTAAAATGACACAAGGACTAAAATGTATGATCATAGTTGGAAAGGCAGTAGTATGACTTTAAAGTCTTCCCTTTAACCTTGTTGCATAGAAAAATTCCACAATGATGTAGAAAACTTTTATAATGGAAGTTGTCAAGGATTTAACTTTACTTGAATCCAGAGTCAATGTCCATAGAAAAATGTCAAGAAATCAAATGATAGATTACAATGGGTAAATCTGCTTACCAAGGATCTCTTTAAGGTGCTTAAAAGCAAAGATGTCACCTTAACTACCAAGGTGCACCTGAATCAAGCTATAGTATTTTAATAGTCTCATAAGTAAGTTGGACAATGAATATGAAAGTTGAAATAACTGACACCTTTGTATTGGCAAAGAATACTGAGTATAACGTGGCCTGCCAAAAGAACAAGCAAATTTATCTTGGAACAAATTTAGCCAGAATACACCTTAAAAACAAGATTGTTGAAAATTTGTCTCACAAATGTTATATATACTATCAGGAAGGGTCAGTCCAGAAAAGGAGATGCTTGGAAAAAGTGGAGGGTCATTGAAGGAAGGAAAGGAATACAGTTTCTGTAACAACAGGTTGTCAAGATGAGGCAGGGTCAGGCAGGATTTCACTGTTTTATTTGTACAAGTTGGCATTTATTCAATTACACTTAAGAACAGCAATAATATGAAGCAACAACACAGTGAACATAACATGGCAGCATAAGTGCTTTTTGACTCCAACTAACTGCATACTCGTCTAATTTCTACCTCGGGCTGTATTCTAGCTTGAGTGACTAGAATCTGTGTCTGGATAACAGACCTTTGGTAAAAACATGGTTTATCAATTTTCTTTTTTTCTTTCTTACTAAAGTTTTTTTTTTTTTCTTCTTTGAAGCCATGTCAGCATGTCTATGTTTACAGGATGTATAACAGTGCAGCAGGCATCTTATATCAAGCTATTTAAAGCTGTTTATTAGAGATCAAAACCTGTGCTTGGCCACTGCGCATCTTTAAGCTCTATGCTGCCAAACAAGAGTTATTTAGTTTCAGAGGCACTTTTAAACACCATAATAATACCAATGTGCATTCAAATGTACACACACTTTCTTAATGCTTTCAGTTAACAAATACTACGTTTTCAATTTTTCTGGGCTGCTATTCATTCTACGTTGTAACCCTTTTGCTTGTCTGTGTTCCTTGGTGACTTCTCCATGAGTTACTAGCATAGATGGTCCATGAAAACAAAGATACGATTTGGTACAATCAGCACACAGTGGCATCAGTACAGAAGTGTGTGCCACACCAGATGACAACAAAATGATTGCCTACAAAATTTTTGTTCAGTATTTCAGCAGAAATTTATTATTTTTAATAAAAATATTCTGTAGGTAGTGATAATGACAAAAACATTTTTCATAAGCCCAAGTTACATATATCAATATGCCGATGGGTTAAAACTTTATGCTATTCCACTTTTTTTGTTTGTTTTTAAAGAAATTTTATTTTAGTTGCAGTTTTAATGAATATTTACAGAGAAGTTAGTTTTTTCATTCATTATTTGTTGCACATTTTACCTCCTCACACTCTCGTTCCCACCCCCCAATTCACTTCTATTTTTAATATTTATTCATTGTTACACTTTTTACTCCCTCATACCCTCTTTCCTCTTCCCCAGTTCACTTTTACTTTTAATATTCATTCATTGTTGCACAATTACCTACTGCCCCCTAACCCCAGTCCTCTTTGCAATGATATATCTTTTATTCTGGGGCTGTTGTGCTTATAATACCTAATCATATATTCATTTCAGGCAGTTTTTTCTTTCATCTGTTCCAATGCAATGATAATTATCTATCCACTCTTATCCTATTTTCCTCCTAACCCCCCATGTCAGACCTGCTTATAACAGTGGTGCTATGCAGTATTTGTCCTTTTGTGACTGGGGTATTTCACTTAAAATACAATAAATTTCATTGGAGAAAAGCTTGAAAGAATTCTAAAAGCCCAAATCTACAGTATGAACAGTCTTTCAAGCATAATGAAAAACCTACAACCAAAGGAGAACAAAATAGATGAATGGAACCTTCTAAGAATCAAATCTCTATGCACAACAAAAATCTTCTCCAACAGGGTAAAAAAGAAAGCCACAGACTGGGAAAAAATATTTGATGAGGACATGTCTCATAATGGACTCATATTTAATTTACCTTTTTTAATTAAATTTTTTATTAATGATTTTAATGCAACATATATATATATATATAAAATATAATTTTTCTACTAGTTTATTTACAAAATTCAAATACAAATTTGGACAAATTCTTTCAATTTGCTTTTAACTCCTTCTGACGTCAGAGCTGTCATCTGCACACACTTCATGCATATACTTTTTTTTGTTGTTGCCACCAATGTTTAAATAATTCCTGATTTTGTGAAATTGTTATGGTTTTGTGTCAATTAATATTTGTCAACCTGTATTCACAATCTTTTTGAAGATAAGTAGTATCCAAATGAAGAGAAGAAAACAAACGAAGAAACTCCCTTTTACTCAGGTAATAATGTTTTGGCTGATAATGCTGTCATTCAGTGTAGAAAGATTTTACAAAATAATTTTGTTCTGGTGGCCTAGTGGTAAGAAACTGCAAAGCAATCCCAAAGGCATGTGGTTCTAATCCACAAACTACTCCTTGGGAGAAGGCTGGGCAATCTCCCTTGCGATTAACCCACTGAAAACCCACTGAAGCATCAGCTGAGTTGATTCCAACTCAACAGCACACAATAACAAAACAACAGTAGTCATATAATTTAAGAAATACTACGTTCAAACAATTTATGACTATCTTATAACATACTATTCTATGACTACAATTGCTAATATTTTATCATCATCATCAATTAATTATTGTCTTTTTTGGGAGAAAGGTCATGTGGGCATGACACAATGAGTGACTGAATACCACTAACCCAAATGATGCCACTGGTAGTACAACTAGTATTTGTGAGTCTTGGATGAATTTTTGTCTTATTACCAATTGTTTAACACTTGAAATGCTAGAAGAACCAATCATGCAAACTTTTCTTCACCAATATAAAATAAAATCCTAAGTCAACAAAAATCATCAAATATTCATAGCACAAAGTTCTTACCTGACTCGAGGAGTTGGGTTTCCAGTGACTCTACACTCCAAATAAACTCTACTTCCTTCTTCCACTTCTTGGCTTCTCAGCTTTTGGATGAACCGAGGGGCAGATGGTAAATGTGGATTCTGGGGCTGTGGATTAGAGATGCTATTGCATGGCATGGCCCCAGCCTGGTAGCAATGCCTCGCCTCAGTCAACTTAATGTCTGTTTCCATCTCCTGTTGTTCTTCTGTGGGGCTACGGCAGTCAGCTGAGACACTCGTCAGAGCTGATGGCTGGTTTTTAGGAGATAGGTATCCACTGTCTGGTGATGAAGACTCCCCATTTGGGCTTCTGTTTTTCGGCTTTGCAGCTTCTCTAAATATAGATGTCAGCTCTTCAATGAAGCTAGCAGCCTTGTCACACAGCTGGCTCTGGGGCCCAGCCTTACCTTGATATGTTGGCTGGGGTTTTTTGCTTATGTTTGAAGATTTTCCACCATGCTTCTCAGCCTTTCGGAGACTTCGGATGTAACTAGGCCTGGCGAGCAGGGGTGATAAGGCAGGTTTCCTCTTGGAAACAGGTGACGAGATCCTCTTAGTTTGTGCTTCTGTCAGAGGCTGGGCAGGTACGGACCTGGTCTCCTGAGGTCTTCCTGAGGAGGATTTCTCACCTAGTTTGTTCTCCTTATGAGAAGGATTTTTGCAGAGGCTTACAGGAGAGGTGTTGAAAATCTGTGAAATCTCCTTTTCTGAGTCACAATCTTCTGTTTCAGAGTCAGCTATAGCTCTCCGGGCCAAGTCAAGACTTTTGTTTATTTCTTCCTGGCTGAGAAAAGCAGATAGCTCGGGGAAGAAGTCAGCATTCTTGCCTTCTTCCTGTATGTCTGATAGGGAATCATAGAAGGAGTCATGGGAGGAAGTCTCTGACATGTTTGAACAGCCTTCATGCACTCTTTGCTTTCAACCGGAAAACAGGAGGCACTAGAAATCAGTTTTCTGAAAGACAACATAATCAGAATCTATATCAATAATAATACTAGAGTTTTTAAAATTTTGCTAATGTTATCTGAAATTCCTCTTATTATAACAACAAAACATAATTCATTGCTGTTGAATTGGAACCAACCTTCTAACATGCTAGCAAGTTTTCAGAGACTGTAAAATATCATGAAAAGTCATTATCCATCTTTCTTTCTTAGAGAAGGTCATGGATTTGAACCTCTTACTTTTGGGTTGGTAATACAACTCCTTATTCACTTGGTCACCAGAGTTCCCTATCATCATAAAAAAGTGTAAGTATAAAAAGTATACTTATTAAATCACTTTTTTAATTGTATTGAAAGTTATACAAGTGTTGAGTTCTTTTGTTCATAGAATGTTGTCAATGACTCTATGACAACAATAACAACATAGAGAGAGCTCAGTTGGCCTAGTGGACAGAAAGTGATGCTACCAAGCCAAAGGTAGGTGATTCTAATCCACGGCCATCAGGCCTGGTTTTAATTGCTTTTGGTCAAACATTCTTCTAATTGGTATAGCACTGGTCTGTCCATTTGCTGTACAGAGGTAACTAGTGGTTGCTGTGATGCTTAACACTGTGACACTGATGTGTCAAATACAATAATGGTTACCCATGGTAGACAGTGTTTGGGGGAGTTCCCCATTCATAACAAGCTTGGAGGCAGGAGTGGCATCACTTCTGAAATAGCTTGTCTCTGGAAAACCTATAATTGCTTTTGGTCAAACATTCTTCTAATTGGAATAGCACTGGTCTGTCCATTTGCTGTACAAAGGTAACTCAAGGTTGCTGTGATGCTGAACACTGTGACACTGATATACCAAATACAATTATGGTTACCCATGGTGGACAGTGTTTGATGGAGCTCTCCGATTAAAACAAGCTTGGAGGCAGGAATGGCATCTACTTCCAAAATACCTTGCCTTTGGAAAATCTATGAACATGGAGAAATCATGAAAGTTATACAAGTGTTCAGGTTTTTCATTCATATGACTCAATGACACTTAACAACAACAACAAGTTTAAAGAAACATCAGTAACGTTGCAAATAGAAATTCTATTTGACCTAGCAATTCCACTACTGGAAATATACCTCAAAGAAACCATAACTGCCACCCAAGCAGATATATGCACACCCATGTTTATGATGATTTTGTTCACAACAGAAAAGAGTTGAAAACAACCTAAGTGCCCATCAACAAAAGAATTGATAGAGAAGCTGTGGTATATTCACACAGTGGAATTCTATGCTGCATTGAAAAACAAGGAACTCATACAATACTATATAAAATGGGTGACCTTGGAGGACATTATTGTTTGTTGTTATGTGCCTTCGAGTTGTTTGTGACTCATAGCGACCCTATGCATAATAGCCCTAAACCCTGCTCTATCCTGCGCCAACCGCACTGCCTCTGACACACCCATCCCGATTACCCCAGTCACTGAATCAATCCACCTCATAGAGGGTCTTCCCCTCCTGCGCTGTCCCTCCACCCTCCCAAGCATGATGTCCCTCTCCAAGGACCTGTCTCTCCTTGCGACGTGTCCAAATTATGTCAGACGAAGCCCCAGAATCCTTGCCTCCAAGGAGAAGCTTGGTTTAATCCTCTCCAAGATGAATCTGTTTGTTAGGTTGAGTAAAATATCTCAGTCACAAAAGGACAAATATTGCATAGTGCCATTGTTGTAGGATGGGACTGACATCAGGTTTGGGGGGAGACTGAGAAAGATGGAATAAATTATGTATACGGCATTGAAATATATGAGGGAGAGAACTATTTTAAAAGGATATATGATTAGGCATTGTTGTCATTACATGAGTCCATAATAAAGGCTGTACAGTGGAGTGGACCTGGGGGAAGGGATTGTATGACAATGAAGGAATTTTTCTTTTACTTTTCAAAGGCAAGAGCAAACTGAGGGGGAGGCTGGGCAGGGAGAAAAGTTCATTAATGAATAAATGGAAATCCAAAATCTCTGTAAGTATTAAATAAAATTAACAATAATAATAAAAAAGAAACTTCAGTAAGCATAATTTTCCACTATTTTTTAAATTATTATACTAGTTTATTTACAAAATTGGAACACATTGTTTTTCAGAGCAGATTCTTCTAATTTCCCTCACCCCCGTACTCATAATTGTACAACCCCACGGTTAATTTCCCCCCTCCCCACATCCTCGTACCTCTGCTTCCACTCTCTCCCCCTTGGATCCTCATACTCATTCTACAATAATAGTTTTATACAATATTTGTCCTTTTTGGACTGAGTTAGTTCACTCAGCGTAATGCTCTCTAGTCTGTCCCAAATTAGGTGATAATTAACAAAATCATTGATCCTGTGTGCTATGTAGTATTATTCCATTGTATGAATGTACCATAATTTCTCAATCCATTTGATTGTGGTTGGACATCTGGGCTGTTTCCATGTTCTTCTGATGGCGAATAATGCTGCTATGAACATTGGTGTACAATTCTCTGTTTGTTCCTCATTTCTCATTTTCTGAGGATATATTCCAAAGTTTGGAATTGTTGGGTCATAGGGAAATTCTTAATTTTTAAAAAATGTTTTAATTTCACTTTTAATTTATTATGCATTCAGGATGTGAAGATCTTGTGCCTCACTAACCAGTATTTGTCATTCAAGACCACATGTGTTTAGATGGTGAGTGAAGTAGAAGATTCTTGCATATTTTTCAGAGCCTCCTATGTCCCTTCCTACAGTTTACCTCATTGTTCTAACTTCATTCAATGCTAGATTTAATGTTAATATCAATAAATATTATGTTGATCTATTCAGGTGATCTGATTTTGCTCATCCGATGCAAAACAAAAATATATTTTAGTAATTTACATTTTTAGTTTTTTACTTTTAATTAAATACTTGAAACGTCATTTTCAGATCCTTATGTTTAGCTATGCTTATTGATATTCATCTATTCACTGATTAATCCAATAGTTATGGATCTACTGTTTTTCATGTACTAGAGATATATTTAAACTGGAGGATGGCAATTTTTCTATGAAGGACTTTTAATTTGTTGTTGTTTTAACAATGGGTAAATAGTAAATACTATAGGGTCTATTCTCTATTTCAACTAATCTATCTTTGTATTTCCAGACCAGGTGGAAACAAATGGACATGGTTATAGCATAGTAGAAATTTAAGTTTGAACACTTTTGTCTTATAATTCTTAGAAAAGTTAAAAGTGTCTTTGGATTTCTAGCTACAGAAACATACAATGGGCCAGAGTTTGCTAATTTTTTTATGTAGACTAATAATAGCTCTCGTCTTTAAGGAAGGATATGGAAGAGATATTAACCAAACAACACACAAAGAACATAAAATTTTGATAGGACTCAAAAGAAATGGAAAGGAGCATGAGAGCTAAATCTAATTAAGGACATGTAAGAGAATTATGCCCTTTACATAGGACATTTATATGGGGAAAACATTGGAATGAAATAAATAGGCTTTCATTATCTATAAGATAAGAGCTGAACAGTTTAAATTACACTGCTGTTTTCAGCTATGTATTTTGGGACACTCCCCTGTTACTCTTTAGAGTTCTGGGTTTTTTTCCCACTAGATGTTTTTTATAGAGTAATAGATTTTTAGAAATTTTCAGAAAATGAGATAGGAGAGATTCTGAAGCTAAACATATTTTCATGAAATGGACAAAGATTGATTTTCATTTATTGAAAAAATTCTTTTTCTTTGGAAATGGTGTTTTGGGGAGTTTTGTTTGTTTTTTTGGAAGCTGAGGGAAACTCAGCTTTAATACTGAACTTAGGGAACATTGGTGTCCTAGTTTTATGGAATTGTGATGCCAACCCAAAGGATTGCAGTTCAAATCCATCAGCTAGTATGTGGAAGAAAAATGGGCAATTCCCTTGGTGTGATTTACAGCCTCTGAAAACTCCCTGGAGGGTCAGCTATGAGTTGGTTCCAATTAGATGGCACATAACAGCAGTAACAACAGCATATTGACCTTAGTTCTGAGAGAGATTGAGAAAGATTTTGTCCTAATCACACTTATAGCTTAAAATCTAGTCTAATTAAAAAAACCCCACCCTTTTGAATTATTGAATTGACCACATCCTGGAACCAAAACAATAATTTATTAAAATTCATTTATGGTAAAATCTACTACATGCCAAACTATATTTGGTAAACAGATGAAATTTTGAAAAAAAGATTTATGCCTCTGTGAAATTTATTGTCTGTTGTTAGGTACCATCAAGTCAAGTACTACTCATAGGGAGCCTATGAACAACAGATCTGAACCTTGTCCTATCATGTACCATCCTCATCATTCCTGGCATACTTGAACCCTTTGCTGCAGTCACTGGGTCAATCCGGTTAAGACTGTCTTCTATCTCACTGAACCTCTAACTTTCCAAACATTATGTTCCTCTCCAAGGTATAAGCTCTTCATAACAACATGCTCAAAGTATGTGAGACAAAACTTCATCATCTTTGCCTCCAACGAGCATGCTGACTTCACTTTCTCCAAGATATATTTGTTTGTTCTTTTGGAAGCTCTTTGGATAGCCAGTACACTTTTCCAACACTACAGCTCAAAGACATCAGTCTTTCTAACATCTTTATTAATTTTCCAGTTCTCAGATGCATGACAAATGTCTGAAAAGACTAAGATGGGAATCAAGCACACCTTAGCTTTCAAACTGATACATTACTCCTCAGCAATTTGGAGACTCCATGACTACAGACTTTCCCAAAGTATACATTCCCTGATCTTCTGACTGCTGATACCAAGGGTTTGATTGTGGATTCAACTAAGAGGAAATTGTTGACAATTTCAGCATTTCCCATCTATTATGATGTTGCCTATTGATGCAAGGGTGAGGATTTTTTGTTTTCTTGGTGTTGAGATGTAATCCATATTGGA